GTGACTGGCGCTGCGGTCCCCATGCGCCGCGGCCCATGCTTTCGGTTTGTGACGAAGCGATGCCTTAGACAGTAGCTCACCTGTGCCCGAAGTGTGTGCCTAGGCCCCTGGGGTTCGCATTTTAATAGTTCAATGATTTAAACGCGTCAGGTGGTTCTTGCGTTAGTCCGTATATTCAGTTGGGTGTCCAGGAGTTCGTCGATAATGCGCAAACGTACAACGTAAAAAGTATGACGTCTAAAGTAAGTTAACGCTATCAGCTGGACTATCTCTCACGTTAGCGTTAACCGTTTTTTTAACAATAATTGTGTTTGTTATTGTGTGAGCTTCTAGCTAAAGGGACCTTTCTCTCTGTACTGGAGCGAACACCTTGGGGGCCGCTACCACACACAGCGACAGTGTGTGGGGGTGGGGTGAGGGGTGATAGACTGATTGATTGACCGAGAGTGCTTTTGTTTTCGTTTTTATACTCTCTCTTGCTTCCCCCCTACTCTCTCTCTCTCTCTCTCTCTCTCTCTCTCTCTCTCTCTCTCTCTCTCTTACTCACTCCATACACACACAGACACGATACACCATCAAGTAGAGCAAGGTTTTCCTCGAATTTGAGCTTGATCATTGCTAGGTGACGACAGACAAGAGTATTTGTTGTTGCCCTGAGAATTTTTTTTTCCAAAAAATGCAAAAAGGAATTGATTATTTCCTACCTGGTTACTACACACTGCTCGGAAGCATGTGCGCATTGAATTGCCAGTTAATCGGAGTGTTAATCGCCGAAACTCTATCTCGCTCGACGCCGCTCGACTCTCATACAAATTTCATCCGCTGAACATTCTCGTTCGTTCGTTTGGTTCGTTTTGCTTTCTGCTGAAGGCTCCCACTGTCTAATCCAGTCCCAACACAGTCCACTCACTTGATCCTCGGCGCTCGGATCTGCTGCGGAGAGAAGCGGAAGAAGAGGGTTTGGGGGGGAGGGGGAGAAAGTTGAAGGGAGAGTTGTCTCGCGACACCAGCTGTGTGGACAGGGTGCCATCCCGCCCCCGCGCGCAGACAAGTTTTTAATCCCGACGGATCCTGCCGCCTCTTTGGTCCAGTCCGAAAGCAGCGGCGTATCTTCTTGCAGCCCCTCTCCGAGTACCCGAGGGGAGTCGAGCAGGCCCCCTACTCTGCAGCTCTGCTCGCTTCTTTCGCTGCGGGGCGACACAGTAGGGCGGGCACGCGAGCGTGGCGTGGCGAGCTCGTGAGCTCCTCTGTGGCGGTGCGGTGGCCAACTCGGTGACAAATTTGAGAATAGGTCATCAGGGGGCCGTTCTGCGTCGCGCTGCCCGCGGCGGCCGCGCCTGTCCTGCGACCTCGACCCGACCCCGACCCCACCGACCCTCTCTTTTTCGACGGCTGTATCGTGCAGGGGTAAAAAAGAAAAGAGTTAACCTACCTGCTGTGCTTGCCAGCTGCAACGAATAATAAAAACTGCGCCAGTATTTTTTGTTTAGAAATTTATTTTTGTCTGTTTTATGTGGGGTAATGGGGGGGGGGGGCGTGACCAGTCTTAATCCCCTCTACTCAGGGGAGTGCTTTTGCCCCTCCACTGTAGGTAGCTACGACCCAGCCGTCGTCGTGAAAGGGTACGTCATTGTTGTGCGCAAGAGTCGCCGTCGCACAGTCCCATGTCAGTCAAGGAGGACCAGGAGATAGTCTCTCATAACGCTGGAGGGTGACGGTGGAAAAGGGGGGGGGGGGGCTGGCTGGAACATTACCCTAGACCCCAGGCTGCAGCGGGCCTTGTCGGTCGTAAAGACGGCAACGACACACACACACACACACACACACACTCGGGTACAAGCGCGCGTCGGCTCGGGTACCCTTACCCTTTATACACATCCATGCGGGCCCTGGCTCTAATCAGTTTTAGGATTACGAAAAATCGGCATTTGCCAAGCTAGGAGGGTGTCAAGGGGTGAGATGGAATGGAGGGGAGGGAGGTTGGGGGAAGGAAGAGATGGGGGAGAGAGCAAAGCAGGGGGGGAGGGGGGGCTAGTTAGCGCCAAGCGCCCCTTGGTGCGTATGGGGTTGGCCCCACCCACAGCAAGGGCCCTGTTCGTTAGACAGGATAACAAGACCCGACCAGCAGGGATAACACGGGCAATATGAGGGACAAGTAACCTTACACCGCGCCGCAGTCGGGCGAAGAACACACCTACATCTCAGAGGCATAAGCCACCTAGACTGGCGCATTTCAGTTTTCCGTGCCCTGCCCTTCCAGGTCGCAAACGGAGGGTGGATGGTTTCGGTATGTGCAAGGCGAAGACAGCTATACTCGCTAATTTACCTCTAGGTGATAAACGTCCATACAAAATAATAAAACGATCTCGGGGTAATTGACCTTTAAGCATTTGAATGTACTCGCTGTGCAATATCGAAAGTTAACAATATAAGTTCATCAGAACTTCATCAAATAATCATCCAAAATGATCAAATTAATGTTCATCGGAAGCCTTTGAAGTTCTTATAAAAACTTATTAAGGTCTTCGAAAGTTCAACAAGACCTTTTAAGTGATAGAGTAGTCTTAGACCTTTTACGCTTCGGTGAAAATGAAAGGTCATCCATTTACGAGAATTGTTTCGGCTTAATCAGTGTGGTGCGTAACATTGTCCGCTGCCACGTGATCTAATCCGTACGGCAGTATGTGTTATATCGGCGCTTTGCTTTAGAAGTGATTGCTCCCCAGGTTTGTGCCATAGAGCAACCAGACCCCTTCAAGGGAATTGCTTAAGAGATTGCGAAGAAGCCCTCCACTCGGATCCCCCGCCCCACTCCGCCCCTCCCACCCGAGGTCTCTCCGGATCTCTGCCGCTCGCGACGCCCTGTCGCCCCGCGCCGAGCCAGCCACACCTGGGACGCCGAACCACCACCTAGCCTGACAGTGTTCTCAAACCTTGTATTTCAAAACAAAACAATTGTATTATTTATTATTGCGGCGATAAGATTTTTCTACAGCATTTGTTTGAGAAAACCAAAAGTGTGGCTTGCTAGAGTAAAAATGTATATTTTCCGCTCTCGCTTTTGGTTTTCTTTCCTCATGGAGAGTTAAAGTAAGCTCACACCTTAAACGTTACTTATGTATTCTTTGTATGTAGCAAAAGTAACCTAATGTATACAGGGTGGTCCACAGACCCCTTCCTTTATTTTGCCTTATACTGTACCGCATGCATGCGTGCGGGCGGGCTTGCCTACTGTCGCTCACCATGGGCGCCTTATGGCCCCGTGCGAGTAGGCAACCCGTCCGCACGCCTGCATCCGGTACAGTATAAGCAAAATAAAGGAAGGGGTCCGTGGACCACCCTGTATAATCTGCTAAAAGTCTTTCCTTAGTTCGCAGTACGGTTATTCCCGGATGTGCAGGCGGAGAGACCCCACACCGTCTCCCACCTGCCCCCTTGCTGAGGGGCTCCCCAGTACCCACCGGTACCTCATGTAAAAGGGGAGGGGGCGCAAGCGACGTGCGGCAAATACCTGATGGGCGAGGCGCGCTGGACCAAACGGGAGATGAGAGAAGGGAGAGGGAAAGAAGGGCGAGGGGGTGGGGAAGCAGGCGCCTGGCATAGTTCACAGACCCTCTGCGAGGGTGGCCCTGCCCTTCCCCACACTGCTTCCCCGTCAGCCCATCGCCCGCTCCGCTCCTCCACAGCCCCTCCTCCCCCTTCTGCCGGCCGCGCTTCTTGGCGTGAGACTCGGTGCGACGCGTCCTCCACCCCCACCCCCGGACCCCATCGTCTCCCTCTCCTCACCCCCTGAATAATGGAAGAGTCTCAACGGAAGTGGTCTTTGAGCCAAGTAATTGCATACGTCTCCGCCCAGTTCGTCAGGCTGCCAAGACATGGCCTGCCGAATCGCCCTTGGCACGGCGACCCGGGGCCCCGACCGCAGAGTACACCCGTCCCGATAGCAGACCGCGCCCCGCAACTTAACATTCCCATAGGCAACGAGCGGCAGTTGTGCTGGCCGCCAAAAAAAGAGCACGATCGTTATATGACTAAATTTGCTGCACTCCGTCACATGCTTTGCACGCTTGCGAGGGAGGCAGCGCAGCACCCGGCCTGCCTGCTTTGCCTGCCTGCAATAACGCGGAGTGCCAGCGGGGCAGGCAGGGCTGGCAGCTGGGCCGCATGACTACCAAACCCAATTATGTAATTTGACACGTTGGTTTGTCGCGCCCAACTCCAACGCGCGCCAGCAGCAGCGACGTCAGGCTGCGACGAGCCGCAGGCGCGCCGACCTAGAACGGGTCTGTCACCCTCAAAACCCCTTTAAAAAAATAAATAAAAAAAATCAACATTTACTTATTAAGCTATGACCTTTTTAACCCAGCAATGGGAGAAACAGTAGTTTATTGTCGATGTCGTTATCTTGACAATTGAATAACTTCCTCTTCTGAAAGCCTACTTAAAGTCTTCCGAAAACGTATATCCACCGGCTTAATCTAACCATGACCGGAACGTGTAGTTAACTGACCATAGGACTTGTATCCAAGGAGGGCGCCTCGCTTAGATTATTAGTCGCGATCAGGACACTCGTTTAAATATATCGCCTTCTCAGCAAGAAAGTTGACGCCCCTAAAGAGCCTAATAGACCATGTTCCCCTTTACAAAGTTGGCAAGGCGTTGAATTTGGTGAAATTTTGATTCTAAATAGAGATAAACCGTTCCATTATCCTCTCCTAGTCCGACGCATACTGAACATTCTACAATTTAGTTGGAAACAACTCTACAACCCAACCTCCTAACGTTTTCCTCTCGTGTGCCATTGATGCACAGGCTGCACACATCGCGCCTGAGCACGAGCCGCCAAGCAGCGGAATTAGAGTGACCCATCTCATCACTCTAGGCAGCACTGCACCCGAAAAAGAAGTACCTTGACGCTCTGGTTGGAAAGGGTCACTTAAATAGTAGGAAAACATATGTTTAGTGTGTTGGTTTGGGAAATGATTAACAACTTTGATAAATAGCAAACTGACGATAATATTTATTTATGCAGTATACATAAAACAAATTTCATTACAAACAGGCATATCGTTTCCGCGTTTTGATACACTTTCATAAAATGTTCACATATAGCCTTCACATAATGTGATTGGTAACCACCTACACTTTACTGCGTTAAAAGAACAATGTCAAAAAAGAAAAAAAGAACAACATTCAGTCAGAAGGAAATATCATCTTGCAATCAGCTCTGCACACATTAGTTACATTTTTACAGATCCCCACCTTTGCCCTAGCGCTACCTCTTCACTCATTTCACACTCACTCGTAGAGATTTATCTAATTTTCATATGTACAATACGTTAAAATATACCTTTTGAAGGATAAGAGTTAAATATAAACAAATATATGAAAACATCTCACATTTAGAAAATGTGTTTTTCTGCAATCTTCTCGGTTCCTCAATGTGGCCACGGCAGTTTTGCAAAAGGAAAATAAAAATAAAAATATAAGACCTATCATTAAATTACAAACATGCCACATTGCAACATGGGAAGCGAGCCGAGCTTACGGAATAACACATTTTCTGGACCATATATTCACAGGCAACACGGCAGGGACTGGTTCAAGCCTAGACGAGGAACCCCCGCCAATAAAATACAGTTATGTACACAGATGGCCTCGACTGAAGGCACACGCGCACGTACGGAGCAGACAAATATTATTTATCCATTAACGCGGCGGCAGAGCGGCTCCCACAGCCATGTCACATCATTTGCATGCGATTTGCATAGAAACAACTTAAAACCGCAGACTCCGATGGCGTATGGTCCCGGGCCCCCGCGCCGCGACTAGTAGTGCTGCTGCCTGAGCGGCCCGACCGTGGCCCAAGGGATGGTGAGGGGAAGCCCAGGGGAAGCCCCGCTGTCCGACTGTCCGCGGCCCCGTTTACACAGACTACGGCGCACACACGAGCGCTCGCTCGCCCGGACCGGTAATCAAAGAGACCAGGCGGTGCGGGGAAAGAGCCCGGGGTGGAGGGGGTGAGGGGAGAATTAGGAGGCTGGTCGGACCCGGTATGACGGATGGGGATGCACAACATGATTGATAACTCGGCCGACAGCGCCGGCGCCGCGGACGTGTCCGGAACTAGTCTTCGATTCAGACCGAGAAGCCCACCCTCCCCCACCCCTGCTACTGCTCCTTCCGTCACACCATGAAAAGACCGACGTAAAAAAAGGGGGGGGGGGGAAATCCAAGGAAAGCAGAGTTTTGGGAAATGCGACCAGGGAGTTGTCGGTTTGGCGAGTAAACACTCAGCATCACCAATCACCACTATATTAAGCGGCGCGAACACATTTACTTAAATATGAGAAGTGCCACAAAACACAAAGAAATTACTTTTTTACAATATATTTAAAATTTTATCCTATTTGGCAAATGGTTTTTTGTTCATTATACAGTATCACCACTTCGTAAAATAGAGCAACACATATCCTCTTACGCGCCCTGCAGACACGCACTTACATTCACTCGCCCACACACTCACACTCTCACTCCTCCCAAACCTCTCACCTGCCCTCTTCGATTTGTTCCCTACTACGTTTTACAAAATATCAAATTCTCTGCTTCAACATTTCTCTCGCCAGCGGCAATAAATACTTCATTGGTCCACACAACTCGTTTGTTATCTTAAAAGATTTTTTCCATGTAAAATCTTTGTTCTCTGCAGCCTACTCTAACGGCGGGACGGGCCGAGGCAAGCAGGTGGGTCCATCATGATGGTCTGCCCGTAGCCAGGACGGCAACGGGTAGCAGGTAGGGGATGAGGAGGAGAAAGAGAAGGCGTCGGGGCGCTGAGGCTCCTGAGGAGGGCAGGGCTGACGCCGGCGACTCCATGCACGTCCGGTAGTCACTGTAGGGCAGGCAGGTGATGGCGCAGTAGTGGCTGCGCTGGCACTGCGGGTAGCAGTTTGACGGACTATCGTAAAGGAATGCCGAGTTGGCGCGGTAGTACCTGCAAAACATGTGTTTTTATGTGTGTTTAATTTTTTTATACAGGACATCAGATTGTAAATTGTGTTATTCGAATTTTTTTCGAAGGCGTTACCTTGCAAAAGAGGTAGGTCCTGCTTCGGAGCTGGTAAAGGACTCGGCCACCTGATGGAAGGAGCGTGCAGATACCTCCCGCATGGAGTAGTAGCTCGTGAGGTTGTAGCCGAGCTTCCACTCGGCGCGGCCCTCGCGGTTCGCGCGCTTGAGGTCCAAGTAGTACTGGGAGTAGTCCAGCACCTGTACATAGACACATGCCCACCGTTTTTACCAAAGAACAATGCAGGTGTATTCGAATGTCGTTCCACGATAGACAAGAATACTTACGTTGCCGGTCGAATTGTCGTACTTGTAGAGCCGGATGCCGGGATTGTTGGAGCCGCCTTGCGTCCTACGGGGGGTCACTGAAGGCGGCATCAACATCCACGACACGGGAGAACCTGCAGGGTGAAAAACACAAAACTCAGTTACGCTGCTGTTTTGTTTACGTCGCGTGCGTCGTGCGTGGAGATGGGAGTTTGGCATTGAATCGTTGACATGGGTGTGAGCGTGAAGTCTCCCTTCCACTCCTCTCGCCCCTTCTTGTCAGTTTCAATACCGTAGCCAACACGTTTTCCTCCTCAGAGGTTCCCCTGAGTAATGTAGTTGGAGTAAATCTGTATCGAGTAGTAGCCATAATCTGGCCTGCACTGGCAGCAGTGGCGGGGGGCGGGCCGGGGGCGGGGTGCGGCGGCGTCTATAAGGAAGACCCAGTGATGAATCGTGCCCCCGGTTCGCGTCTGCGTCGCCGACTGGACAGGACAGGCAGAAATAAGCTGCTACATCAAATCAATTACTTTACATCACGTCGACCTGATCCGGCTGCCGTCCGACAGGCGTGGCTGGCGTGGAGTGTGTTGGCTGCATGCGGAGGGGGCGGCGGCGGGCGGACCTGCTCCGCTGTTAATCAAATTCGACGCGGAGGGACCGAGGGGCGATTGCCCCCCAACCCCAACCCGCCCCTGGTCCTACAGCGGTGCTTACACTACACTGCTCTTATCAACAGCCGGCAGTCAGCCTCCATACGGACCGCGCACTCGCTGCGGGACCCATGCTGCTCCGTTGCGCCCTGGCCCTTCCCTCCCCTCTGCCTCACCGCTCCAGCAAGCCCCGCCGTTCCCCCGCCCTCCAACCCGCAGTGGGACGCACCGCGGCTCTTCGCAAGCCGATCAATTCCTTCGTTAACGTCGCCATACAGCCCACAAAGGCGGCCCGCGCCGCGCACCAGCTCCAAAATAATAGTCTATTTCCTTCCGGATGGCCGACTCGGCCGGACCCCCATTAATTTTCCTGGAGCATGATCGGCTTTTCCTTCCCCTTCCCTCGTCCCTGGATCGCCTCTCTACATGTTTTCTTTTCATGTCTGCCTTTCTCTTTTTTTCCCCCGCTGATCATCGTAGAAAACGGAGAGATTTTTCTGTACTTTGGACTATGCGAGTCTGCCGCCCCGACTCCCCCTCTCTCGACACCCCGAAAAGCCACGTCCCAGCCAGAAAGCTTGCCCCTTTCAGCTTCCTCATCGCTAATCCATCTCTTTGCTCGATAAAACGCCGGAAAGGCGAAAACAGTATCACAAGGACTGTTTGTGACGGGTGATTTGCCATTTTCGTCGACCTAGCCCCCGCTAGTTCCCCAAAATTAAAGATTCGCAGCAGTACCTGAGTCACCAGAAAGACTTACCAGAGTCGTTGTAGACGACGCGAAACGTGTCCGAATGCCTGTTGCTGAAGAACTGCCCCACAATGATGTCGGCGTTCCGCTTGACCAGCTTGAGGAAGCGCGTGTTGTGGTGGTCGAGGAGCCCGCCGTGGCCGCTGGACAGCGTCGGGTTGGGCGCGCGATCGTCCGCTCCGGGCCCGGTGTGTCCCACCAGGTACACCTGAACAAAACGAACGAACTAACGTCAGTAACCTGATACACTACACATTATCTCCCGAGCATCGCAGAACATAAACGAGGAAGCTCTACGCGGGTGATAATTTGAAATCGCGTAGGCGCTCGTGTGGGTCTGCGCCGCGCAACGGTTAAATTTTTAATTACCCTCTGCGGGCGCTGTCGCGCTCTACCTCCCACACGTCCTCCATGGTGTCAAAGCGAGAGCCGTCGCTCTCCTCCCCCGACTTGGACGCGGCGCGCACTCCACGAATCCAATCTAATATCTCAGGTTGCCTCCTATCTCCTTTCATTGGCAGCGCGGCGGCGGGGTTCTCACAAAGGGGGGACGTGACGGTGAGGGGCTCGTTTGAGACAAATCAGCGGTCCTCTCTGTCGAGAGAGAGGTGGGGGGCGAGCGCAAGGGGGGCTGGCGGCAGGAACACTTACGGCTTTAGACAGGGGGACGTGGGTACACTCGGAACATGTGAGAGCAATCGGGTGGATTAGGTGTTGAACATTAATTTATATATACATTCCAGATCCATGAATGTACCAGATGCATCTGGTCTCGTTACGCCAAAATTTGAGTTAAATGTTAAGGCACTAAAAAGTACTAAAGGTGCTAATAATTGCCTTATTTGGCAATAATTTTAATAGCTTTGCTTTCAGGAACGCACAAGCGTGTGCATACCAGGTCAAATGTGTGCTTGGAAGGGAGAGGTGTGTCTACCTGCAGGTAGAGGCACACAGTGCACATAATGTGTACTTTGTGGGTTGAGGTAACCTCCACTTTCAGAGGTAGCGTGGTGCAAGGAGGGCTAAACGAAGATGCCATTGTTGACACTTGCGTGTGCATGCCTGCAGGTACGCTGTGCCTTTCTTGCACATACATATATATGTGTTCGTGGTCGACAGTTGGTTTTACGGTGTGAATTTGCAAACGCAGTAAATCCAGCATTCTCACCCTCACGGTGCTTTTTGTTTTAAATTCCCCTTTATTAAGCCAAACACCTCATTCCCCTAAAACTTCTTGCAAAGCTCATATCTTTCCTTATTTTTCTTTCCCTCGACACAACAAGTCAGCATGCGGGACAGAGAAGCATGACAGAAATAGGCGTATCCGTAAACAAGAGAGGAAACAAAACAAGCAAAGCAGGGCGGCGCGGTGCTGCGAGATTTAAGGTCGGGTGACGAAGGTGGAGAGCGAAGTCGACGGAGGGTGCGGGCAGCAGGCATTCTGGGAATAGCGGGGCGTCGTCACGCAAACACTGGCCGCCCCGAGGCCCAATTCACATCTTCCGGCGCCACCTCCTACCCCCCACTACCCCCTCCCCTCCTTTCTTTCACTGTCGGTTGCTGGCCCCCCGCAGTCTCTCCGAGCGGAACCCGATCAGGGGCGCCGCAGGGAGCCATCTTCATCATCTGCTCGGTGCGATCGCTGGCCGTGACAGTCCTGCAGGGAGCGCTTGCATTGCGGCCGCACCACGCTCCGCTGCACGGGTGGCGCGGCCGCTGCACCCTGCGGACCGTGGCGAAGGGACCCATCAGTCTTGGGCGGGAGCTGCCTCTCCGGGGCACCATGACGATCGTGACCAAGGGGGAAAAAAAATCATCTAAGATATTTTCTCGTCCTTTCCTTACTTTCCCCCGTTTCCTTCCTCCCGTTCGTTAACAACTCTGAGTTACTTTCCGGCACGTGCATGTGTACGTCAAAAGGAAAATCGCTCAATCTAGTGGGGAGCGAATGGAAAACCGTTCAACCTCTGGCGTCTAAATAAGATATTTGATCATAGTGCGTTGTGTTTGCTTTTAAAACAAAGTTTTATAACTCGGGATCACTGTCAAAATTATGTATTATTACCGCTCTCCCTCTCTTTTCGATCCATAACTTTCCCAGTTAGATACGTGGACGACGATTGGACGTCAATACGTCAAAATGTCAATACGTCGATATTTTAACCGTAAGCATCTACGGTCGGCGTCTACTCGGCGTCAAATTACGCTTAAGTTGAGGCTTCTCACAGGGGCAAAAGTACAAAATTTTACGGGCAACGTTAATGGTCGCCTCTGCACGTCTCTCTCTCTTTTTCTCCCCCTATCTGTGCGGGACGAGCGCGCCCGCGGTAGGCAGTCCCGCCCGCCGGCAGTGCTCTGCGGCACTGCCTACCTACCGGTTCGCAGGGGCGCTGCGGCGGGGTGGCACGGAGCGCGTCTCGACAAAACAGCAGAGCAGAGCAGTGGCCTTATCTCATTTACGGGTGGGAAAAGTGCGAGCGCAGCAAAAGAATGAGGGAGGCAGGGAGGGAGGAGAGAGAGCAACAGGGAAGCGAGGCAGAGAGATGAAGAGACACAGAGAAATGGAGGGAGTAAACAGAGATCTCGATAGGGATCAAGTGTATGTATGCCGTTTAGCTCAGTCGAAACTACATCCTAAAAATCGAGAGGTGGGAGGTCGGAGAGTTTCAACGCGCCCAACGACGCTACGCACACGCACGGCCCGGCTGGCGCAACCCGGCGCAACCTTCGGCATCGTCCCCTCCCACGCGCGCAGCGACCGCTAAATGCGCACAGTAAAGTTTAACTACCGTAATCTTGGGCCTCATTTTCGCCGCTCGCCATATACTGCCTGTCGTCCGCTACCACCCCTGCACACCGTCGTCCCCTGCTGTCTCCTTTCGCTCAATTATTTCTATTTTTTCTAAATTGTTTCTTTTTAAAAAATTGCAACCCTGCGAATCACGTTGGAGAATAATGTATGTCTTATGAAAAGCAGCGCCTTGTCAGTTTGCAAAGCGCGCACGCACTAAGAAAACAAGTTTGTTTCAATGCAAAAATGGGGAAGAAATACTTCTTTCTACATCCAACTAAACAAATACCAAGCATTTCAAACTAAATAATACCGGTCCAATCAGTAATGTCTGGGTGTAGATGGGTGGGTTTGTTGGCTTGTTGGGTAACTGCGACGAAACGTTTAAACGTTTTTTAAACGTCGATCCTGACCCTTCAATCCATGAAAGGATATTACAATTGGTCTAAAAGTCTGAAAATAAATAGAAAATAAAATAAAAAGACGAATTGGAATCAACAAAATTTTGATTCCGTCAGACCTTTGCTATGTTGATTAATTAATCATCTAATTAGATAATTATATTACGTTGACATAAGTGTAATCTGTTTAACAGATACTTCATTTTGTGATGGTCAGGATCGACGTTCAAAAAAACCTATAAACGTTTAGTCGTAGTTACCCAACAGGCCAACAAACCCGACACCCTTCTACACCCAGACACCATCGGCCGTCTTTCTCGACCAGGCGGCACATGTAGTGATATTAAGGTCGTTCACTTCCCTCGGCGGCCCTCGGCGGCCCCTCTGCTCGGGGGGCGATGTCAGACCACATCCGTCCTCCCTCTACTCTCTCTCTCTGTCTCCCTCGCTGTCCCACAACCACCAATCCCAGCAGGATGCGTGGCGTAGCGTGGCTCTACAATCAGGGTATCCGCCAGCCCAGACCGGCCCAAGCGCGGCATGGCGTGGCCTGGCGGCGTACACGGACAGGCAATCACAAGCTGATGGTTCGGTTCCGGCGTTTGCCCCGGCAGCCGGTCAGTATCCCTCAGCAGGGCCGGCGCCGAACGCCGCACGGCATCTACTCAGACGGCCCCGCCCGCCTCACCCTTGTTCTTCGCCTCGCCAGAGACACGACGGAATGGCACCATTTCACCCGCCCGCACCCCCCACGAGCAGCCGCGCAGCCTCCTCTCCCGTTCCCCTCCCAGTCCGCTCGCCGCACCGCAGACGAGACGTGCGAGACTGATTTTGTGACAGTCAAACGGAAAGAGATTCATATTTCACGTCATCGTGCTGATAATGGAAGATGGATGGACAGCTACACTCGAGGGATGTGAAAGTGGACATGGGAATGTAGACACCAGAAAAATCATACAACATCCCCAAAACTGATTGCTGATAGTTCGGCAAACTACACCCAGAAACCGGTTCCGTTGATTCAATAGAAAGAAAATATAGATAGAATTTCTCTCTTGACTTAATAGCATTTTATTGATTCAAGGGAAAATTTCCCATAGGGTAATGGAAAATCGATTAAAGTTGCGAGAAAATTCTATAGTATTTTCCTTGGGTAAATTTCCATTGATCCAATGAATTCTCCGTTTAATCAGTGGAACTATTTTCTGTGTGTCCACCGTTGAGTTTTCAACGGAAGTAGAAATAGGCAACCCATTGTGAATGCGACAGCGACAGTACAACCTAACATATGGTGCGGAGCCTAACTTGATTTTACACATGAAAAAACAACATGACGAGTACCACTGACAAAGGTGGTATGTGACTCCAAAGAGGACTCGAGCTGTGACCACAATCATCGCCACCACCTCCACCCCTCCGCCCGCCTTTCCCCCTCACACGCCGCGCAGCCGGCCAGTAAATTGAGACAGGCGTGTGTGATACGGGGAAGAGAGTGTGGAGGGGGCGCGGCGACACTTCCTTCGAAAGAGCAAGGTCCACAACCTCGCGCCGCGCGCGCCCAGGCAGGCGCCCAACGAGGCACCGGGCGCCCACACTGGTGGGTCGTGCGAGCGTGAGCGAAGCGTGAGGCACTCTCCTACTTTTTCCCTCGAGCAAACACGCTCTCTTTCTACTCTCACCATTTTTCCCCTTAAGACACACACACAGAGTACTCTCACCGCCCTTCACATACACACATACGGCGGCGGCAGATTAGTTCTCTATGAGGGATCAAAAGGAGCATGATGACAGCAAATGAAAAGGAGAAGGAGGAAGAGGCAGAGGAGGGGACAAACAAGATGACGAGAAGGACCACGACAACAAGGCATACACCGCAGCCCCAACACGACTCACAGGCTACCCCCACCCCCCTAGCTCGGTTCGGTCCGTGGGACCAAAACCACCACAAAGCCGTCAACCCCCTCACCCTTGTCCTCCCTGCGTCCCGGACGCACGCCCGTCGCAGGCATCGGGCGGGGGACCCCGCGGCCCCGGCCGCCCTAGCGGTCCCCAGCGGGGTCAGGGTGGTTTGTGAGCGGGGCCTTAGGCTGCCTCGGGGCCCTCGCCCGAGCGAGCCCCCGCCTTCCTGGCGCTGCATTCAAAAGGACAGGCACATCATTTGTGCGGCCCGCCTGGGTACGACTGCCAGCCCCTGTCCCTGGAGGTCCCGCCGTGGGCTCCGCCCGGCCCCGCCCGGCCCCGCCCCGCCAGCAGCGCTGTATCTTTTGCGACTGATGGTGAGCTGAGGAGGGTTGCTCACTGCGACATGGCTGCTTCTTAAACGGGTTGCCAACATGATGATGAAGAAGCCCGGATTACCAAATCACACGGCATTGACTATGCGGTTGGCCATGACCTGGCACAGGCGGGTGTGCCCCCCCCCCCCTTCTCTAGCAAACGTCACACGCTAGGCGCAAGGCAGAATGAACGACTCATCTCTGTGGGCGTGGGGCTTTGCATGCAGTGCAGTGAACTTGCATACTTCGTATTTGAGGGGGGGGGGCGGGCGTGGGTGAGTTGCCGCCTACGAGCCCCTCCACCGAGCACGTAATACAACATGACACGGCGACACCCTGCTCGCCACCCGCTGGCCGCGCCTTACCCACTTACCCCACACCTCCCCACACTGCCCTCACCCTGCCCGCCCTCACCGCACACCGCGGCCTTCAGCATATTTCCCAACCGTCTTGTCCCCTCGGCGGAACGGCCCGGCGCGGCGGGCCGGAGGCCCACGCGCGCGTTCACTTTGCGTGAGCTCAGGGCACAACTCAGAGACGAACGTGAAATACGCAGTCGTGCATGGCCAGCCTCAACGAGGGCCTCACGGGCTCCGGGGTGGGCCGGGCCCGGCAAGCGAAAATGGAAAGCGATTTTGCCTTTTGCCGAATTATTCTACACTACAGTTTTACTACTACTTCCGCTTCCTGCCCGCGTCCCCGTTTCCTACCGGAAAAGAGGCAGCGAGAAGAGGGGAAGGGGGCGGCCGCGAACAGGAACTAGGGGGGGAACCGGATGGGGAGCTCAGATTCGTATGGTAAACACACAGGAGGTGGCGCACGGCGTGTTCGCGCGCGGCCCGAGTGGTCAGTCGGGGTCGCAAGGGGAGGGCGAAGGTGGAGGCCAGCGGCGCGAGCAACGTCTCACTCTCCCACAAAGTAGGCGGCGGCCGCGGCTGCGACGGCGGCGCTTGGCAGTCATGTAAAATGTATGGCGCGACCGACGACGAAGGGGGTGTGGTGGTGGGGGAGAGCGGATCGGGTGGGGG